GGACCCACCGAGGCAGCGATTGTGGAGGGGCAAGGCACACAAGGTGGTTGGTGGGCCCGGTGGTCTCACATTCACATGCAGATAAACCAGGTGAAACTGGGGAGCAAGACAGACCTTGCAGCCCAGGGTCCCAGCACAGGGAAATAATGCCTTGGAGCACCGACTGAAAACACCTTTGGGGGCTGAGGTGCGGGGAGAAACTCCCAGCCTCACAGGAGAGTTCGCTGGAGAGATCCACAGGGTGCTAGAATGTACAGAAACCCACCCACCAGGGAATCAGCACCAGAAGGGCCCAGTTTGCTTGGGGGAAGTGGTGGGGGTGACTGAGATATGGGCAGAGAGCAGAGCGAGTGCCATTGTTCCTTCTCGGACTCCTTCCCCACATACAGCGTCACAACACAGCAACATGGATTGCCCTGCCCTGGTGAATACCTAAGGCTCTGCCCCTCACTACATAACAAGTGCATCAAGACAAAAAAAATGGCCCAAATGAAAGAACAGATCAAAGCTCCATAAAAAATACAACTAAGTGATGAAGAGACAGCTGACTTATCAGATGCACAGTTCAAAACACTGGTGATCAGGATCCTCACAGATTTGGTTGAATTTGGTTGCAAATTAGATGAAAAAATGAAGGCTACAATAAGTGAAATGAAGGAAAACGTACAGAGAACCAATAGTAATGGGAAGAAAACTGGGACTCAAGTCAATGGAGTGGACCAGAAGGAAGAAACAAACAACCAAACAGAAAAGAATGAAGAAACAAGAATCTAAAAAAATGAGGAGAGGCTTAGGAACCTCCAGGACATCTTTAAACGTTCCAACATCTGAATTATAGGGGTACCAGAAGGAGAAGAGGAAGAGCAACAAGTGGAAAAGTTATTTGAACAATAATAAAGGAGAACTCCCCCAATCTGGCAATGGAAATAGACTTCCAGGAAGTCCAGGAAGCTCAGAGAGTCCCAAAAAAGTTGGACCCAAGGAGGACACACCAAGGCACGTCATAATTACATTAACCAAGGTAAAAATGAAAGAGAGAATCCTAGAAGCAGCAGGAGATAAGGAGACAGTAACCTACAAAGGAGTTCCCATAGGACTGTTGGCTGGTTTCTCAAAAGAGACCATGCAGGCAAGAAGGGGCTGGAAAGAAGTATTCTGAGTCGTAAAAGGCAAGGAAAGACCTACTTTTAAGATTACTCTATCCAGCAAAGCTATCATTTAGAATGGAAGGGCAGATAAAGTGCCTCCTAGATAAGGTCAAGTTAGCCCTTATTATATGAAATGTTAAGGGACATGTTAAGAAAAATAAGATAAAAAACATGTACAGTAAAATGACAGCAAACTCACAATTATTAACAACCACATCTAAAACAAAACCAAACTAAACGAACAACTAGAACAGGAACAGAACCACAGAAATGGAGATCACATGGAGGGTTAGCAACAGGGGAGTGGGAGGAGGAAAGAGGGAGAAAAGGTACAGAGAATAAGTAGCATAGATGGTAGGTAGAAAATAGATAGGGGGAAGATAAGAATATTATGGGAAATGTAGAAGCTAAAGAACTTGTAAGTATGACACATGGACATGAACTAAAGGCAGGGAATGTGGGTGGGAGGGGGTGTGCAGGGTGGAGGGGAGTGAAGGGAGAAAATGGGACAACTGTAATAGCATAATCAATAAACTATATTAAAAATAATAATAATAATGTAAAAGCACTTTATGAACTATAATGCAGACCACAAATATTAATCATTATTATAAACTACTTATCAATTTATAGTCTAGTTTTTTTCCCCAAAGAGTAGTAATGAATAAACTTCCTAAAATGGGAGTCTAGGTGGATGAGTTAAAAGAACAGAAATTCATACAAAGTCATCCTTTTGGTTTGGTTATTAACAAATGCAGTGGAAAAAGGTGATCTATTTGAAGCTCACAGTATGAGAGAGATCACCCAAGAAGAAATTTTAAAATATGCTCAAAATTAGAGGCAGAATTTTCACTTTACTCAAGTAGATTATGCTAAAGCAAGGGATACACTGGGGCAAAAGTAAGTCATAAACTGAAATGAGAGAAAGCTAGGTCTGCTTCATTTTTTAAATTATTGCTATTTATTGATATGAGAGAGAGAGGAAGGGAGTGAGGGGCAAACGGTGAGAGAGAAGGAAAGAGAGAGAAACATCAATTTGTTGTCCCACCCATCCATGCATTCATTGGTCGCTTCCTGTATGTGCCCTGACCTGGGATCAAACCTGCAACCTTGGTGTACTGGGACCACACACCAGCCAATCGAGCTGCCAGGTCAGGGCCTGGAGCTTTTAACTCTAAAGTTAAATAGTAAGCAACTCTTACAACCCAACAGGGCTAATTACATGATTTCCAAAGTGCACAATATGATAATGTTGCATTAAAATACATTTTTTTAAACCAGAAAATACTGTAATACACTGCAGAACACAAGTACCTGTATACCTCTTTGAGAACTGAACCCTATATTCAGGGAAATAAATTAAAAACACTAATCCATAATGTTTTTATGCATTAAGTTCACTCTGCCAAAATGCTTACTATTAGTCACAATACAATTAGTTAAATACAAATGAGTAGATTTGCATGCTTCACATCTCCTCCCTTGGTCGCTTTTCTATCATTATATTTACTACGTGTAAACCTTCCCTCCCCTCTTTTTTCTGCATAGAAGCAAATGTTGGTCCACAAACTAGTGATGATTAATGTCCTTTACTATTACCATAGAACCCAGGTCACTGGGAGGTCAGCCCCAGCTCTGGTATCTTATGCAAACTCTTTTCCTGGATTTTCTTAAGTGATTGAATTAAGTGGGTTCTAGAGACATCCCCTCATCCCCACCCAATCAATATACATCGATTCTCAATGTATATATTTTTTCAAAGACTTTCTTTTTCACTTACTCTTTCATTTTCTCACCAAATATATTTTCCTTAGTCTCGTGTACTAGGTATTGGAAATATAAAAGTGAATAGATGCAACAATCACCTGTTACAACAGTCCAATGGGGGCAAAAGGCTAGCGATCCCGGTAATGTGGCAAGTGCTACAAGTGATGTCTGAAAAGGTGCTAACATAGACAGAGGAGGAAATATGTAGGAGACCGGAGGACAGTATAGTTTGGTTGGGGGCGGGAGGCAGTGGTGAGGGGGAAGGCACAAAGCAAGGGATTTCTAGGCAGAGAAATTAGTATGGGTAAAATCTAGAGAGGAAGAAGGAAGAAAATAAGGCTTTTGGGAGAATGGAATGCCACGTATGTTACATAAAGAACTTACATATTAGCCCTGGCTGGTGTTGCTCAGTGGACTGAGTAGTGGCCTGTGAACCAAAGTGTCGCCTGTTCGATTCCCAGTTAGGGCTTGAGTTACAGGCCAGGTCCCCAGAGGTGGGTGCTCAAGAGACAACAATTGGTGTTTCTCTCCCTTTTTCTCTCCCTCCCTTCCCCTCTTTCTAAAAATAAATAAAGTCTTAAAAAATAACATAGAAAATATTTTTAAAAAAAAAGAACTTAGAAATTACCTACTAGGCAACACAATGCCCTTGGGCAGGGAAATGATTAGAAAGATCACTCTGGGTGCATTTTGAAGGGAAGAATGGGGTATAGAACTGGGAGACAAGAAAAGAGAAGGTAGAAAAACCAGTTAGAAGACTTTTATCATTGTCTTCACTCTCTCTAAAAATAAATAAAATCATTTAAAAAATCATAAATACAATAGATCACTAAAAAAAACCTATAAAAAACTTAAGTGATACACACACTGGACTTGAGAACATCTTAAATACAAAGGAATTTTTACACAATCCCTTCCCTCACATCTTGAGCTTCTGATCACCCCCCATTAGGCTCTGCTGGGCCCATACAACCAACTGGTGGACATTCTCCTCCAGCTCTAGACACACTGACCTTTCCTCCGTTCTTCAAACACACTAAACTCTTTTCCATCTCAAGGCTTGCTGTCTCCTTTGCCTGGAAACTCTCGCCTTATAGTTGGCATATGGCTGGCTTGTTCTTCAAAGCTGTTTTTTCAGAGAGTACTACCTTGATCAATCTATTGAAGTCCTACGCCTGCACTATTCTCTGTCGCAGTACTCTATTTTTTCGCTTCACAGTACTCAATCCAATCTGTAACCACTTTATTTGCTCACATTTTATTGGCTGCCTCTTCCACTAGAATGTGTGCACCACAATGGCAAAGATGTCTGGCTTGTTGGCCTCTGTGTCTTCAGCCCTTAGAACAGTTTCTGATAAATAACATGTTTAATAAATACTTGTCAAATTACCCATATAACCCAATTTCTCTCTGAATCACCTCTCTCCATTGGCATCGTTCAGTCCTTAAACCCAAGTCCTTTTCTCACTGTACGGACCTATGTAACCAAAAGAGCTAATTTTTATTCCACTTTTATTAGATACCAGGCTTTGTGCCAAAGATTTATTTACATCATTCCGCTTAATCTATACAACAATCCACTCATATGGATAAGTGTTTTCAAAATTATCGCCATTACACAGGGAGGAGGAAACAGAAGAGGTTGCAGAGCCTGGCCAAGTTCACACGAATGGTGGAGCTGGTATCGGAATCTAGTTCGAACTTCGAAAACAAAACATAGCCAGTCCACTGCTCACTTCCCGTGAGGGCATATGCTCTAGTTTGGGAAGTCCTGCATTAGCCCTTCTTATGTTTTGAGATTACACCTGCTGTACCCAGGGCACATCCTAATCCATTAATTTTCACTCCCTCTTCCCACTTGCTTTCTGATGGTGGGAGGCGAGGGCGGGGAGCAGTGGAAGGCTGTACTGAACTTCAAGTTCCCCGCTTCTCCCAAGGAAGATGCAGGTGGGAAGATGAAGAGTTCCAAGCGTTACCATCTTATTTTTTAGCGTTGAGGAAAAGGTAACTGGGGCCTGACAAGCGACTGCCAGGTTCTGCAGCAGAATCCAATTCCCGCATCGCATTAAAGGCAAAAGCGCTTACCTTAACTGCCACCTCCGGAGCCGAGTCCACCGCCACTGCCAGAGAAGGCTTGTCAGAAGGCGATTTAGTCAAGTGCATGAGGGAGTCAGCGGTTGGCAGCGGACACCGTCCGCCCTCACTGTCCGAGTCAGACTCGGACCCCGAACCCGAACCATACGAGGCAGCCAGAGATGCAATTGCAGCCGACATGACTGCAACACAACAGGGGACACCAGGCCCCGGCGGAAGTAGAAGCGGCTTCCAGGTCCTAACAGATTGCCATGACACACAATATTTACTTCCCTTGCTAAGACATAATTTATGACATAGTAAACAAATTAATTAATATTAAAATAATTAAAATATAACTGAGGATTTAGAAGAATTTATCTTGGACAATAGGAAGAATTATAATAGGTTATAACTTTTAGGACCTTTTTGGCTAGCTTAAAGACTACGAGTTCATACATGCCTTGCGGCCGCGGGATTCTGCACTCCCGGCGTGCAGCGCGACAGGATGTGAGAGGCACATGGGAAGTGTAGTTTGGAGACAGGGGGCAGGATGGGGAGGGAAGGCATCTCTTCAACTCCGCCCCCGAATGGAGATTCATTCAATTGGCTATCACTTTCCCTCATTCCCTGGCCAAGCACTGTTCCCTCCGTCCCCTTCCCCCAAACTGAGGATTGGGCAATACCATAAAACCTCAGAATGGGGGGGGATTGATACTCATCCCCCCCCCTACTGATGGGTGAGTGGGCGGAGGCTGAGTTTCCCACCAAGGCTGTACCTAGGCACTGGAGGCTGAAGAGGAAAACGAGTCTTAAATTAGAAGACTCTGACTGTTGGGGAATAGCTCGTAGGAAGGATGGGAGATTAGGTGGCGAGAGTCCTGCGGTCCCCCCTGTTTTAGGCGCGGGTCCCTGCGCCCGGTTGTGGAGCTGTGCCTGCGAGGAGGGGGCGGCTAGGGGGCGGCGGCGGCGGCGGCTCTCGGTGTTGTTCGCTCGTGCGTCGATCGCACTGTGGGTCCGGTGATCGGTGGGCGCCGTAGGCAGCGTACCCCGTGGCCCGGTGCGTTGGACGCTTCTCTGAGCGGGTTCCACCAGGGAGCTTGACTTTCCTGGAGGCTCTAGGGGGAGTCCCGGGAGCTGAAGAACACCGGCGGCTGCCGCCGAAGCATGAAGAAGGGGTAAAGTAAGAGCCCCCCAAGATTTCTCGGTGAGCTCGAGTCTCTCAGGAATTTTTTTTTTTTGGAGGGTTGGAGGGTGCTGGGGAGGAACTCTTCCACACCGACCACAACAGAGAGGTATGTGCGGAGCTCCAGCCCGGCAAAGGTTACGGGGATGGGCGCGCCTCCCCCGCAACGGCCCCCACCCCCACTCGCGGGTTCCTGATCTGCCGCCCACCCGCTTGCCGGCTGGGCGCAGATGGAGGGGCCGGCGAGTCGGGGTCTCGGTGGCAGAGACCCGCCAGAGGCTGCTCTAGGAGGGGAGACTGCAGCTCTCACCTGAGGTGCCACCGCCTGTGCGACCGTGCCTTGCGCCCACGGGTTGCCCCCGTGCCTCCCGGGTCTGGGGAAGGCTGCAGCACCCGCTGGCGGAGAAGACCACGCTCGCGCTACGTGCCCGGGGCTCTGTGAAGGAGGAGGCTTATGCGTTTGCGTGTTTGCACCGCGCGTCTCTGCCTAAAGACCTAACGGTAGAGGAAGTGCTGGGATCCCTTTCTTCGCTCGAAGAGCGAGGCGAAGCGGGGCCGTCGCTTCTCACGGCTGTTAGCGAGGGTTGCCTCGAGGAGAGTTAGGGGCCCGCTCACTGGGCACCGATGTCGGCAGGACTCGCCCATTGTGCCACCCAGATAATTATTCAACTATGCAGCATCCATTGCACCTTTCCCATTTTTCTTTTCCCCTTGCTACAGCATGCCCCCTAGCTTCGGTACTCTGACGCCTTCTCTTGCACTTGCGGATGATGAACTGGAATAATGATGAAAAGAAAGCTCATCTGACCTGAACATTTACAACCTGTCCTATAGCCGATTAATTAACTAATCCCCAGCTAGACCGGTTACTTTAATACGACTGGGTCTAATCCTATCCTTGGATTATATTTTAATTTTTTATTTGGTGTTAGATTCACGTATTAGCTAAGTTTTATTTCTGTCCATTAATGTAATTGATTTATTGGTTAATCGACTTGTCCTAATGTTCTTGAATTTCATTTGTATGGTAGGTAGGTGACTTTCATTTTTCTAATTGTTTATAGTACTAGTATATCATAATTACAAGTGCAGTTTCAATCTTTGAACTCTCAGGAGTAGTTTTTCTCATGCTCTAAGTTTCTAAGTTAGGAAAAGTATATTTGTATCAAATATTTGAATGAAATACGTGACAAAATCTCTCAAGTTTTCAATACGGAAAGTTTTGTATTTATTTTCTAGTAACAATATTTAATTGCTCATTACAGCCTTTAGAAGCATTTAATATTTAAGATGGAGTTTTAACTACTATAATGATCATTTCCTAATTTATCTAAATTTTATTTTTTATTCAGCTCTTTATGGGGAGTAATCATGTATTGGATTATTTATTATATAATTTTTCTCATTTCTCTAACTTACGTCTGCAAGGATGAGTAAGCTCCAGTTTACATGATCTATCTAAAAGGTGAATTATTTTTTTAAAACAGAAGAAACAACTGTTGGTTACTTGCTGTTATGTTAAAAACTGTTTACATCTTACTAATTTAAAATAAATGGTTCACTACCAAAAGTGTTTTCTTTTTGTTTTTGTAGTCCTCCCTTTCTAGCTTTTCTTGCTTAAGGTTGTTGCCATAACCCTCTTGATAAAACGGAATTGCACCTAGGCATTGCAGAGGCAGTGTTTTAAGATACAGTAATTATTTTATGGCACTTGGAAGTGGCACACATATAATATAATTAATTTGATGGAGTAGGGTCAGTTGCTTGGTTAGGAAATGACCTTGCAATTTATGAAATGGACACCTTTGTGCCTTGGTTTCCTTGTATGTAAATACTGATAAAATACCTACTTATTCCACTAAGTAGAATGCATAAATTTGGTAAAGATGTTTTTATAATGCTTTTAAAGATTTTCTAAATGTTTTAGCTGATGGATGATGAAAAATGTTTCAGTGTAAAATACAGTGAAAAAATGGCCTTTTAGAATGGCTGATTTATACTGAATTTTGCTTTGAAACAGTATGGCCCCAAATTCAGGAATGTCTCTCATCCATCAAAAGTTTTTAATAATTTAATAGGTATTACAGTTAATATCTGTATGTAATATCTAAATATAGGTATAGTTAGTATTGATGGGAAAAGTTATAGGACTTGGTAATAAGTAGAATATTGATTTAAGTTTGTGAATAATAAAATCTCCAGAAAACATTAAAGCCTTTTTAATTAAAAGAACTTGTAGCTGACAAAATCCAAAATACATAGTTGTGATCATTTGTAGGTATGATATGGAGCTGCTTAATTATTCAGGTTCATGAGTATATACAGAGGCAGTGTGTGACTATTGCATAATCCTATATTTATTTTGCTTTATCTTGAGAATAGTCTGAGGTACCATTTCCAAATGCTTGATTTTCATCATCACAGTAGCTGGTAGCTTTTGATTTCCTTATTGGAGGATTAACTCAGTTAATTTTCATAGCAAAACTACTATTAAAGTATATTATTAGAACTTCTTCCAAAACAGTGCTTTTGATTACTTTGTGAGGACACCTAACATAGGTAAGACTATTCAATGTCCTTAAAATTATTGTTGTATCGGGTTTCTTTGAAGAATTAATTTGATTACATTTTTTTAAATAAACTGAAATTCAGCTGTCATTATCACTTGGGTACATAGAGTTAACTCGAGGGTTTTTGTTTGTTTGCTTGTTATTTTTTTTAGGCTTCTTGAGGACAGCAACCGACTTGATGCTTACTATCATAAATCCAAAGTTATTAGCAGAGAGTGTAGCAAGCAGGAGGGGCTCAGTTTTGTTACTGTTGGACAAATGAATGGCTGAAGAACGTCTGCTGATGCAATGTACTGAGTAGAAATTTTAAAAAGTAGATTTATCAAACATTTTAATTCATGAAACATACAGCTTTATATCGAGAGAAAAATGTGTTTGGGGGTTCTTTGAATTTCATTTATCTCTTCAGATGTATAATTCCTTTACATATTTAGAACTAGCTCTACACCTACATAATGTATACATTGTCAACCCTTTATTTATGAAATGATAATAATTTTCTTCTTACCTCTTATTGCTTACTTCATGAAAATGTATATTTTCTTTGTTTTCCTAAATGAGTATAAACATGTGTTTGATTCTTTTTGACTTTCATTTTCCAGTGAAATATCAACAAAAACATGTATGTAAATTATGTCATAGGCTAAATGTACCAAACTACCTAACTTTAAAAATAACTGAGGTAGAGCTTTGTATGAAATGAAGCTTTTTCTAAAATGTTTTTAGTTTATCACATTCAGTTTATAATTTTGAGTCTCTATTTATTGATAGTTGCTAACACAGAATGGGATTGATTTTACTTCAAAACTTAAAAAATGATTTAGAACTTGCAACTTTCTCATAAACAAGAAGCTTAGTGGCGACATTCACAAACAGCCCATCAAGTTAACCCATAATATACTGTAATTAGAGAATTAGGCTAATAGTAATATTAGAGAATTTAAAGCTTATATTGATAATTAGTATAAATATAACATTGACAATATCTGTAATACTGGTAAAAACAATGTTTCTGTGGGAAAATCAATTCAGAATCTATCTTGAAATGCTAGGAATACGTTTCTCTTGTGTTAGACCTGACAACGTTATTAGGAACTTGGCCTGTGACACCCACTGGGCATGGAGAAGAGGGGGATCTCCTTCAGGCAGTGGTGCAGCCTTACGTCTTCTGGGGCAGTGACCAGAGGATGAGGGAAACTGGAAGGAGCTAGGATCTTCTGTGTAATGTTGGATAAGTCGTTTTACCTCCCAAGCAAGGTCTCTGGTTTTCTGAGTTGTAAAATGAGGACGTTGAAGTAGATGACCTCTGTGGTTCTTTTCAGTTACAAATAAAATTCAAAGGCACTTAGAAGCTCAGTATAACTCCCCCGTCCTGCCCCCCCTTTTTTACTGAGGGTTCATTTTTTCCGTTCTCATGTTACTGCTCATTATTGTCAGGGAATTTCTCCTTTCTGGATCTACCTCTG